GTCTCGGTCCCACCATGCATTCCACCCAGAGGGAATCGTGCACGTGCAAGTGGCCATCGGGATGCAAACGGGCTCCACTAACTGGAGGCACACGAGGAGTTTGCCATGGCTGTGATGCCAGGAGCCTGAGGGGTGGGAGGTGAGGCTGGAGGAGAGGCAGGGCAGCGACCTCTGCCTGCTTGCCTTGAGGGTCATGCTGTCCTCTCTGCCTGAAGCCCCGTTCCCCAGATCTACCAGTCAATTTTCCATCCATTCTTCAAGGCTCATCTGGGTGTCACCACCTTCAGGAAGCCCTCCGACCTGCCTTTGTACATGCCCAGCACCTGGGTGCTATTTTGCCTCTTCTGTGCTCCTGCAGAGTCCTGTGTTTACCTAAATTCTCGCTTGGACCATGTGGTTTTTAATGTAGAAGAATGAATGAATGAATGAATGAACGAACGATCCTTCATTCATGTGCAAAACTTTAAGTGGGGAAGATGAATAGGTGGAGGAGTTTTTTCTGAGTTTTGCTCTCCAGGCTGCTTAAATGTTCATACTGTTTGCCTCTCAAAGCTGAAAAGCAAACAAGCAATTCCCTTAGGACTTTTGGCATCGCTCAGTCGCTTATTCCTGTGTGGGTTCATCCACGTGTCTGTCAGGCAGGATTCAAGGCCAGCTCCGTGTCAGCCCTGTTTTTTCTCAAGGTGCAAACATGGCACATAGGCCAATGAGGAGGGAGGACACGTCGTTGCCTGGTTAGAACATCTGGAAAACTGTGTCACGGGGGAAAGTGCTTTAATGAGGGGAATTTGGGCTTCCCTGAGCAGATGGCATAGAGGGAGCCAGATGTGTGGGTCAAAGTTGAATGGATTATGAATGAGCCTGAGGACTTCCTTCCTTCTTTCTGGTTATCCGGGGAACCCACGTGCAGTGTGTGCAGAACCTTGGGAGGGGCGAGCCGGGCACCGTGGCTCACGCCTGTCATCCCAGCACTTTGGGAGGCCAAGATGGCTGGATCGCCTGAGGTCAGGAGTTTGAGACCAGCCTGGGCAACATGGTGAAACCCTGTCTCTACTAAAAATGCAAAAATTAGCCAGGTGTGGTGGTGGGTACCTGTAATCCCAGCTACTCAGGAGGCTGAGGCAAGAGAGTTGCTTGAACCGGGAAGGTGGAGATTCAGTGAGCTGGGATCGTACCACTGCACTCCCGCCTGGGCAACACAGGGAGACTCTGTTTCAAAGAAACATAAGAAGATGAAGAAAGACCTTGGGAAGGAGAAGGATGATTGGGGACATGCCACAGGGACACAAGGCCCAGCTGACGGGGCTCTCCGGGGCCAGAGCTGGAGCTATTTGAACAACAAGACTTCAGAACAGTCTCCGATTATAACTAAAGTGTCAAATATTCATGAGCTCGCAGTAATACAAATACATGATTGACGAGTAAATCATGGAGGGGAAGAGACGAACCTCTCCCACGCTAAAGAATTCCAAATCGTCGATGTGGCTCTCCCATGCTCCGGGTCGGGGGGTAACTTCCACCCCTCAAGTGTGGGCTGCACGTGGCAACTTCCTTCCTAGAGGACAGTGTGGAAAGGAGAAGAGTGTGGCTCCACCAGGGAGAGGCTGACACACAGGACCCGGGCTGGGAAGAGCAGCGCCATCAGTGACGCGTCTGCTGATGGCCAGGCCCAGTGTGAGGCATCTCACTTATCCCTGCGGCCCCCTCCCAAGAACCCCCAACCCCATCCGATGCCCAGAAAAACATCGGACAGACCCACATTGAGAGACATCCGCCAGCGTGCCTGGCCAGCCCTCCTCAGAGCTCGCAAGCTCATCCAGCACAAGGAAAGTCCCCAGACTGTCCCAGCTTAAGATGTGCTGTGGTGTCCTGGAACAGGAAGAAGGCATGCTGAGGAATCTGGACAAAGCATGGTGTTTGGAGAACGCGGATGTGCCGATGCTGGTGTCCTTGTGTGGTGCATGTCCCAGGCTGGTGCAAGGTGTTAATAACGGGAGCAGGATGTGGCGTAGACAGGAACCGTGAGGCTCAGCTAAAACGCCCCGTCCTGCGAGGTGGCACCCTGCAGAGTGCAGCAAGGAACGGGGCTCTGGATCCAGACACTCAGCTCCCGACCTCGGCTCTATCCTGACCGTCCGTGTGACCTCCCTGTGCCTCTCTGTCCGTATCCAGCAGGGAACTCCCTGGGCTATCTGCAACTTTTCTGTAAATCTGAAACTATTCTATCAAAGTAAAAAAGTAAATTCCTGCTAGCTCCACCACTTAAGACCAATCGCTCTGACGTCCCACCAAGCTGCCTTCCGTTCTTATTTCTGGGCATCTCCCCTTGATAAAGTCACACCTACTTCTCCAGTCGCTTGTCACTGACAGAATTGTCACAGACGGCTTTCCCGTTGCGTCCGTGTGGCACGTGCAGTAGGGTGCTTCCTTGCCCTTCTGCGCCGTCCTTTCATTCGTGAGCACAGGAGCTCCCCAGCGGTGACGTGTTCTTTGCCAACATTATGACGTAATGCAACGCTCCCCCAACCAGCCCTCAGCTCCTCCTCGTATTTTTTCCTATGGATGAACCACCCCAAGAGGCACAGCTCTGAGCATACACCACGTCCCCATTTCAGGGACCAAAGTCGTCCAAGGAATCGCTCTCCACTGGCCACGTCATTCTCTGCCAGGCCCCTGGCGTGCTGGGAGGGCAGGGTCTTGTGCTGATGGAGATTAATGACCATAGCTGGGAAGCTGATGAAGGTTTCCCTGGAAGGAATCTGTGGAATCACCGTTCATTCACTTAAAGGCAGGAGCTGCGTGCAGGCTATTGATTTTTGCTCCGTGAGCTTAATTGCCTTCTGGAGATACTTTGCGGTCTGGGAAGGCCACTGTAGTCGCCTCGTGCCATTGCCCACTGTCCTTCCCAGGAAAGCTGTGCTCATCTTCAGCGGGACTGGTCCCACCCAGCCCCGCGCGAGGCCCAGCTTCAATGCCCCACCCTACATGGGCGCGCATACCCTGCAGCATGTGGCTAAGGACAGTGATCTGCAGTCAAACACTTGCCTCCAGAGGGAGACTTCCTTTGGGACTTGCTTTGGGTCCCCTGTTAGGACGAGAACCATGTCCAGGACAGCCACAGCTGTTCTCCTGCCTCACCCCCGTCCCTGCAGGCCCCAATGCCTGTGCAGGCCAGGACTCTACATGTTTGTTGAATGAGGGAATGAATGAATGAGGGAATGAATGAATAGACACTGTGCGCTTGCAGGGTCGGTGCGAGGGGTGCATGCTGAGTTTCTAGGTAACCTGGTTCAAATTCCGTGGCTGTGTGACCTCAGGTAAGTTTTATCTGCCACCTTGTCTGCCAATTGCCAAACAAAGTGGCCGCAGGGCCTCCGTGAGTGTCTGGGTCTCTGTCATTCCAAATGTAGACATGCGATAACCCGAATCTCACCAAGCCACCAAATCCAGCCGGGATAAGGGGATCTCCTCCTAAGTGACTCACTCCTGTGTGGCCCCTTTGAAAACCTAAATGAGGCCACCCCCTCCCATCCTCACGCCTCCCTGGAGACCTCCCGCCCCAAATAGCAGGATCCCTGGTTGCAGAGCTCTTGGGTGTGTTTTCTGGGGCTGCCGTGGTAAAGACCCACACATGTGGGGGCTGAAACTAGCAGCCATGTATCCCCTCACAGTCTGGAGGCTGGGAGTCCAACATGTCAGCTGGGCTGGTTCCTTCTAGGGACTCAGAGGGACTCTTTGTTCTGTACCACTCCCAGGTTTCTGTGCCGCTGGCAACTCACAGCCGTGGTGACTGCAGGTGCGTCCCGCATCTCCACCTCTGCCTGTGTGTCACCTTCTCTCTGCACCCCCACCTCCCCTCTCCTTATAAGGACACCAGTCATTGAATGTAGGGTCTACCCCAAATCCAGATGGCTTCATCCTAAGATGCTTAGCCACGTCTCCAAAGACCCTATTTCCAAGTGAGATCACAGTCACAGGTACTGGGGGCAGGGATGTTGATGAATCTTTCTGGGGTCACCATACAAACCACTGTACCTCTGTCTGAGGCCTGGCGGGCCTGACCCCTGGCTGCTGCTCCAGTCCCATGTCTGCCTCCCCTCTCCATCCCCTACATCAGCCCCTCGAGCCTGCCCCTGAGTTCCCCGGGGACCCTGGCTCAGCCTTCTCTGCTGGAGGTAGTGGGCCCCATGCAGTCACTCCCTCCCCATCTATCCTGGTCCTGCTTTGGAGCAGCTGTCCCTGAAACAGCTTTAGACAGGGTCTCTGAGTGTTCACCTGTCTCGGCTCTCTGGAATGGATTCACATTCAGGGCAGAGGCCGTGAACCCTGCGTTTACAGTGGAGCCTCGGCATCCAGAACAGTGCCCTGCACTCAATGAATGAATGAATGAATGAATGAATGAATGAATGGCTATAATTAGCACTGAGCCGGCTGGGTTTGGGTGGGACCTACCATTTCCGTGGTACCCCCTCTCCGATGTGTGGGGGAGCCCAGCTCAGGCACTTATGAATGAATGAATTAGTGAATGAATGAATGCATGAATGTATGGCTACAGTTAGGCTGAGCCGGCTGAGTTGGGGGTGGACCTGCCATTTCTGGGCACCCCTCCCTGCTGTGTGAAACCGGGCCCAGACACCCCATGAATGAACAGATGAACGAGTGAGTGAATGGCTGTGATTGGCACTGAGCTGGCCAGGTTGGGGTCGGACCCGCCGTTTCTTGACATCTCCTCCCTGGTTGCAGGGGTGAGGGCTGGCCCAGGCGCCCCATGAATGGATGGCTACAGTTAGGCTGAGCCGGCCGGGCTGGGGACGGGCTGGGGACAGGCTGGGGACAGGCTGGGGCCGGGCTGGGGCTGGGCTGGGGCTGGGCTGGGGACGGGCTGGGGCCGGGCTGGGGCTGGGCTGGGGACGGGCTGCCATTTCTGGGCCCTCTTCCCTGGTGTCAGTGGTGGGGGAGGCGCACCCCGCCCAGGCCTCACGACTCCCTTTGTGTTTCAGGTCCTCCTTGTCAGCTCCTCACTCAGCGACCGGGACCAGAGCCTGTTCCTCAGCGCGGACGAAGGCGCCACCTTTCAGAAGCAGCCCATTCCCTTCTTCGTGGAAACTCTGATTTTTCATCCCAAGGAGGAAGACAAGATCCTCGCCTACACAAAGGAGAGCCAGGTGAGACGTGCAGGTGCCGCTGGCGTGGTCTGTGGGGCTGCGGTCCGCTCCACCCACCCGGAGGCGAGTGCCCGCGTGGAGCACAAGGGACCCGGAGCCCCTGGGCTGGCTGAGGAGGAGCCTCCCGGGGCTGCCGGCTGGGACGCTGGACCATGGCCCTCCTTGGTGCAACCTTGAGGGGCCTCGCCCGCCTGGCCGTGCCGTGGGAGCTGAATGAAGTGGTGGTGGGCGGAGCACGGGGCTCAGAGGTTGGAGGGGAGCCAGTGAGTGGCAGGCCATGAGGATCATGCCTGTCGCCATCCCTCTCTGCCCGCCAGTCACAAGGCCTTTCTCCACTTCTGGAACATTCTCCACACCCTCACCAGGCCTCACGGGGCCTTTCCCTCAGCCTGGAATGCTCTTCCACCCTCACCAAGAGTGGTGGCTTGTTCTTCAGACCCCCAATCAGCATCCCCTCCTCTGGGAGCTGTGTCCATGGGGCTCAGCAGAGAACTGAGGCCCCATCCACGGGAGAGTGGGGGAGTGGGGGGCCAGCCTGGTGGGGAGCACTGGGCTGCATCTGCGGGGGGTGCCCACCTGGGTTCTGAGGCTGGGGCAGGCTTTGTTCCTCCCTTGCAGCCGTGGGAACAAATGGCCACAGGCTGCTCACTTGGAGCAACAAAAACGTACTCTCACAGATCTGGAGGCCCACACTCCAAAACCAGTGTCACTGGCCCAAGATCAAGGTGTCAGTGGGCTGCACTCCCCCTGGGCTCTAGGGAGGAGTCCGACCTGCCTCTTCCAGCTGCTGGCAGCTGCCAGTATCTCCTTCAGGGCGGCCTCACACCTCCCTCTGCCCCATCTCCACACTGCCTACTGCGTGAGCGTGTGTGTGTGTGTGTGTGTGTGTGTGTGTGTGTGTGTGTGTGAGAGAGAGAGAGAGAAACTGTATGTGAGCATGTCGGGGTGTGGGTATGTGTGAGTGTGACAGCCCATGTGAGCGTGTGTGGTTATTTTTAGGAGTGTACACAAGTGTGTGTGGGTGAGAGCCTATGTGAGCATGTGTGGGTGTTTGAGTGTGCATGAGTGTGTGGGTGAGTGTGTGTGAGTGTGTGTGAGTGTGTGTGTGTGTGTGTGTGTGTGAATCTCCCTCTGCCCCTGCTTTCTGTAAGGACTCAGGGGATTTTGTTTGGGGCCCATGCAGATAGTCTGGGTGATCTTCACAGCTGGAGACCTCAACAATCCCATCTGCAGGTTCTCTTTCTGCCCTGTGAGGTAATGGCTACAGGTTCTAAGGATTAGGTCATGGATACCTTTTGGGGGCCACTCTGAACCTAGCACCTCTGCCCAATAGGAGGTGTGGGCTCCACAGTTGCAGGAAGGGTTCCAGTAGGAGGCCTGGCTCTGGGTAGAGCAACTGAGCCAAACTGGGCTGAACAGTCAGGGAACAAGAGGAACAGCACACGTCTGTCTCTCTCCAGTGCACTGAGGCTCCCACAGGCTGACTCCAACCAGAGGCTAGAGGAAGAAGGTCAGTCTCAGGGCCAGCGATGGGTGGATCTGTCTACATAGGTCAGCTCCCAGGGTCAGAGAAGGGTTGGAAAGAGCCAGCATGAACCTGGAGGGCAAACGGAAGCTGCCCACATCAGCAGCCTTCCCTGTGCACCCGAGGCCAGCTTGGGCCCCAGCATTCTACACTCTTCCATGCTCCTGTGCTTCTCTTTCTCAACACTGATCACCATGGGTATCTGTTAGTCCACATCCACATTGCTGTAAAGAACTACCTGAGACTGATTTACAAAGAAAGAGGTTTAATTGACTCAAAGTTCTGCATGGGTGGGGAGGCCTCGGGAAACTTAATCATGGTGGAAGGGGAAGGGGAAGGGGAAGCAGGCATCATCTTCACAAGACATCAGGAGAGAGAAAGCGCACGTTGGGAACTCAAAAATACTTTTAAACCAACAGATCTCACAAGAAGTCACTCACTATCACACAAGAACAGCCTGGGGGTAACTGCCCCTGTGAGCCAATCACCTCCCACCAGGTTCCTCCCTCCATGTGTGGGGATTACAATTTGAGATGAGATTTGGGTGGGACACAGAGCCAAACCATGTCAGGTAACTATGTATTTGTGCAATTATTTGATTATTGTCTATACCCAATATACACACTTGGGGCAAGCTCCTTGAAGGCAGGGAAGGTATCTGGTCTTTTTCACCACTTTAATCTAAATTGTCTGGCTGAAAATATTAGTTGGATGAATAGATTGAGGATGGGTAGATAGATGGATGGATGGATAAGCAGGGATGGACAGATTAATGAATGGATAGATGTATAGATGATTAATGGATGGATGGGGATGGGTGGGTGGGTGGATGCATGGATGGGGATGGATGGTGGATGGGTGTAGGGTGGGTGGATGGATGGATGGATGATGGATGGGTGGATGGATGAATGGATAGATGGGGATGGATGGGTGGATCAGGATGGATGGATGGATGGATGGATGGGTGGATGGATGGATGAATGGATGGATGGGAATGGATGGGTAGACGGGGATGGATAGATGGATGAGTGGGTGGGTGGATGGGGATGGATGGATAGATGGTTGTATGGGTGGGTGGACAGATGGATGGGTGGATGGATGGATGATGGATGGATGGGTGGATGGATGGGTGGATGGGGATGGATGGATGGATGGGGATGGATGGATGGTTGGGGATGGATGGGTGGGTGGATGGATGGATGGGTAGATGGATGGGTGGTTGAATGGATGGGGATGGATGGTGGATGGGTATAGGGTAGGTGGGTGGGTGGATGGATGGATAAATGGTTGGGTGGATGGATGGGGATGGATGGGTGGATGGATGGGTAGATGAACGGATGAGTAGATGGGTGGATGAATGGATGGGAATGGATGGGTAGATGGGGATGAATGGATGGATGAGTGGGTGGGTGGATGGGGATGGATGAATAGTTAGTTGTTTGAGTGGGTGGACGGATGGGTGGATGGGTGGATGGATGGGTGGATGGGGATGGATAGATGGATGAATGGGTGGATGGATGGGTGGTTGAATGGATGGGGATGGATGGTGGATGGGTATAGGGTGGGTAGGTGGGTGGGTGGATGGATGGATGAATGCATGGGTGGATGGATAGGGATGGATGAGTGGATGGGTGGATGGGGATGGATGGTGGATGTGTGCAGGGTGGGTAGGTGGATGGATGGATGGATGAATGGTTGGGTAGATGGATGGGGGTGGATGGGGATAGATGGGGATAGATGGGGATGGATGGGTAGATGAATGGATGGGTAGATGGGTGGATGAATGGATGGATGAGTGGGTTGGTGGATGGGGATGGATGAATAGGTGGTTGTATGGGTGGGTGGACAGATGGATGGGTGGATGGTGATGGATAGATGGATAGATGGGTGGATGAATGGATGGATGAATGGATGGATGGATGAATGGATGGATGGATGGATGGATGGATGGATGGATGGGTGGGTGGATGGTGGATGGATGGTGGATGGATGGATGACGGATGAATGGCAGACAGTTTGTTAGATGAATGAATGATAAATTTCCACCAATAGGGACTGTCCAGGTCAGGGGCCTCCAAGTGAAGATTCCTGGCTGGGCTTTGCCATGGCTCTCGACAGGACCTGGCCCCCTTGCCAAAGTTTGGTCTTCCCTGACTGGTGTCTCTGCATTTCCCGGCCTCCTGGGCTGCCTGTTTGCTCCTGGCACCTTCCTTGAGGATAGCGTGTGCTTCTGGGTATTAATAGTGCTACTTAGCCTTCCATGTAATTAGACTAAAGCACAATCACAGAGACTTATTTTCCCGCAGAAATTGACTGCATTGCAATTGCTCTTTAATTTATGGTGCCCTGAAAAATTAATGGAGCTGAAATCTCAGTTATTTGCTTTGGTTCTTTTCTAACTTAAGGAAAGAAAAAGGCTTAGTCGCAGCTGTAAAACGAATAAGGAATTTGAGGAAATTAATAACAATGACAACAGGGCTTTAGTTTTTGAGGGGGCTGTGCAGTTTTTCAAAGCTCTCTTAATTCCCAAGAAGCAGGGTGGTGTGGTGGAACACGCCAGCTTTGACTCCAGCAAATCAGGTGTATTAGGCAGGCATCTGCGGCAATCACACTGAGTAACACACAGCCCCAGGCCTCCATGGCTTACGGAAACAAGCACTATTTCTTCTTCCTGGGGCTCTGTGGGTTACCTGGGGCTCTTCTTGGCTTTGCTGGGATTGGCTGGATGAGGTCCCTGGTTGCTGGTGGAGTTTGGGTCCCTACAGGACTCTTACACTGGGAGCGTGCTGTTCTCATGACGGAGGGCAGAGGCTCCAGGGGTTACAGAGCAAATCATACAAGCAGCTTTAGCGTAACAGCTTTGACCTGGAAAATATCACATCCCCTCACACAGTCACATGCCAGGCCCAGAGTCAATGGAGTGGACACGGTTACTCCGTTCCAAGGATTTGCAGATTTGTGCAAAGCCAAAGCCTTCCTCCTTTTCCTTCCCTCCCTCCTCCGTCCCAGATGCCGGCCCTGCCTCCAGCAGACACCTGTCCGCCTACCCACAGACTGCCCTGTTCCGCGACTGTACGATGCTTCTCTTACACCTCATTATAATTTGGGTCACTCTGAGGCTGCTTTGCTTGGAGCCTGGACAGCCTTCCTGGGTGAACAGCATAATACACGTTTCTTCCAAGCCTCAGCCGACTGCAGCCGGCCCTTGGGGTTGGTAGTCCGTGAGAGCCCGGCAGTCCCTTCCCACAGCGGCTTCCTGGGGGCTGCTGACGTGAAACTGGCCAACCTGTTCTCTGTGTGCTCGGTCCTCAGACCTGCTTGCTAAGGCAGAGCCTTGGGAACTTACTTCTAGAAGCATAAACTCACTTTTACATTTTATTGTATTTTATTCCCCATCAAGCATTTCTTCCCATCGCTGTGCTTCCCAGCACCGTGAGAAATTGATCTGAGCCCAGGATTGCCTTTCAGAAACTTA